CAGACAGCTGACTCACCAGGTCGGAGCCGCCGATGCCGATGTTCACAACGTCAGTGATGCTCTTCCCGCTGAAGCCTTTCCACTCGCCGCTGCGAACTCTCTGTAAGCAGCAGAAAGCAAAAGGTCACGACCTCTACGTCATCATCATCTTCATCATCATCTTCATCACCATCACAAACGTACCTGACAGAACGCCTTCATCTTCTCCAGGACCCGGTTCACCTCCGGCATCACGTCCTTACCGTCCACCACGGTGGGCGTGTTGGAGCGGTTACGCAGAGCGACGTGGAGCACGGCGCGACCCTGAACACATCATTACACAAGATATTGATTAACTGATTGACAGACAATCAGTAACAATGTTTAAAAGTCTGCAGTCATTAGGCAGCTCTGTGAGTACACCAGAGGACCCTGAACACATCATTAAACAAGATATTGATTAGCTAATAAAACGTCTAGTTAGCATGCTAACATTAGCATTAGTCTGACTAATGGATCAATAAAGTTATTACAATTAATTCTTTCTAAAGGTTTTAAATTAAATACTTTGTTATTTTTTATCAATAATAATAAATCAATAAAAGAAATGATCAGTAGATGAACTGATAATGGATGATCAATACGAGACTGCACTGTGTGTGTGTGTGTGTTACTGTGTGTGTGTGTTACTGTGTGTGTGTGTGTGTGTGTGTGTGTGTGTGTCACTGTGTGTGTGTGTGTGTGTTACACTGTGTGTGTGTGTGTGTGTGTGTGTGTGTGTGTGTGTGTGTGTGTGTGTGTCACTGTGTGTGTGTGTCACTGTGTGTGTGTGTTTTACTGTGTGTGTGTGTGTGTGTCACTGTGTGTGTACTGTGTGTGTGTGTGTGTGTGTCACTGTGTGTGTTACTGTGTGTGTGTGTGTGTGTCACACTGTGTGTGTGTTACTGTGTGTGTGTTTTACTGTGTGTGTGTGTGTCACTGTGTGTGTCACTGTGTGTGTTACTGTGTGTGTGTGTCACACTGTGTGTGTGTGTTACTGTGTGTGTGTGTGTGTGTTACTGTGTGTGTGTGTGTGTGTTACTGTGTGTGTGTGTATATATATATATTAAGAAACAAAAACACCTGCATCAACAACCTGAACGAGAACCAAAACAAGGGGTCACATTTTGTTTTGGTTCTCGTCACTCAGTTTTATTATTGAATTAGAGTTTGGCATCCTGAGAGGCAGCCTGGCAGAAAACAGTGAAAAGTGTGAAACGTTGCTGCATGCTTTGAATGGTATAAAGTAATGCCATGTGGTGGACTAATATAAAAATTAAAAATTGAAAGCTTGTAGACTAAAATGAAATCCTAACATAAAGGAATGCATTAGTTTATGTTAAGATAAACATGGGATCAAAAATGGCGTTTTGAATGTTTTTCAATGCAGCGTTTTTATACCGTAGGAACAAATGTGTGAGTTTGTGCCATTTTAAGATAATTTAAGGAACTAAGACCAGAATTCTAAACAAAATGCAAAATGAACAACGTTTGGCAAGTTTGAGCTTCATTCATTGAACACAGCCAAAATAGGATGAGAATAAAAAACGGAAATGTACCGAGGAACTCTTAAGGGTTAATATAATTTAAATAAACATTTTAACTTTATCAAACATTACAGCTGCTGCACTTTGTATATTTCTATATTTCATATTTCTTTCTATCTAAAATAATGTACATAAATAAAAATAACTAATAAAAATACTAAATTACAAAAAGAGACAAACTGAGAGCCACCGACATGTTCCATGTTCGACATTATTGATCTGCTCGGTACCTCTGTGAAGTTGATTTTCTCTCCAGAGAACATCTTCTCTCTGGCTTCCTCCACTCCCCTCGACTTCGCCTGAGAACGTTACGAAAGAACAAACATATCAGGGTCACATGAGGGTCACATGAGGGTCACATGAGGGTCACATGAGGGTCACATGAGGGTCGTATTGGAGTCGTATCAGGATCATATCAGACACAAACACTGAGCATTATACAGCTCTGTGCCCAGTGAGGAGGAAGTATTGTGAGCTGTGTTAACACACTGCTGTTAACACACTGATGTTAACACACTGATGTTAACACACTGATGTTAACACACTGATGTTAACACACTGCTGGAGGACAATGGCTGCACTCTGTGGCTCAACACGACCTTTCAAAATAAACTGTTGAAATCTTCCTGTTTCATTGTGTGTTTGAGTAACTTGTTTCTTATCTCATCTGAAGAGGAAGAAATCAGACCAACACACTGAAACCTGCTCTGCCTGCCAGGACCAGGTCCTCTGAGGCCTGAGGTACGGGCCCAGACCTCACCTGCACACATACACCTGTACAGGTGAGGTCTGCACACATACACCTGTACAGGTGAGGTCTGCACACATACACCTGTACAGGTGAGGTCTGCACACATACACCTGTACAGGTGAGGTCTGCACACATACACCTGTACAGGTGAGGTCTGCACACATACACCTGTACAGGTGAGGTCTGTACAGATCGACCTGCAGTGTCCCAGCTGACTGACATCTGGCAGGAGGATGATGGGATTGAAGAGGAGCTCAGAGGCTGAAGGTTGATTAGAGGAGACAGCTTCAGTGTGTGTGTGTGTGCCTTTCAAAATAAAACACTGTTAAAGAGGGTGGGGGGGGGGCGTTACCATGGCGAGCAGCATGGACAGCACTTCCTGGTTGATGAGATTCTTGGAGAAGTCCAACAGGATCTCGCCATCGTCCGTCTCCAGAGTCGTACTGTTAGAAACAGGAAGTGATTTTATTATGAAAACTCTTTATTATAGTGATCAATAGTTATTGATTGATCAATAGTTACTGATCAGTAACTGTTTGTTTTCTAGCTTTGGTTTCAGACGGTCAAACTCGATTGATTACAAATAAAAAGAAATTATAAGTTTGTACAAAATCAGCTCCGTATCAATAGTTTATTTTACATTATTGAGAAAACAATATATTGATTATCTCATTGATCATTTATTAAAAACATTCGTTTCTAAAAATAAAAGAAGATTAATTTATTAAAACTTTAGTTACATAATGAAAAGAACTGATGGACATCGATATCAGTGATCTGATATCTGATCAATACCACATGTTTGGTCTCATCCATCGATAACGTGTCACACTGCACGTACACACAGAGACTGACGCTGATTGGTCGGCGGGAACCTACGCTGCATCTTCATCATCATCATCATCATCAACGTGCCTCACAGACGTACTGATTACATCATCTATAACTTTAAATCAATAGTTATTGATTAACTGCACAGCAACAACCTGCAGCGTCCATTATCGGACACACCCACACTGAGCCAACAGGTTGACTTTAGCTTCAGTTAGCTTCAGCTAGCTAACCGCCGTATTAACACATATTAAACATAATAAATATATTATTGATCTGATTCAGCAGCAGCAGTTTAATGTCACATTAGAGCTCTTTAAAGGCAGCAGCAGTTTAATGTCACATTAGAGCTCTTTAAAGAAAGCGGATATCAGCTAGCTAGCTGTCCGATAATGGATGCAGGCGAGCTAACGCTAGCTTGCAGGTTAATTCAGTGTCGTTAGCTCGTTTTAAAGCTCAGACAGACGAAGGTTGGAGGGGGGCAGGTCTGAACACGAGCCCCGGGAACGTTTCCAATCAGGAAGACAGACAGGAGTATCGATGACCTTCAGATGGACGAACATTGATCATCAGATCTGCGCTGTTTGCAGGACAATCTTTCACAGGGCGGCGAGGTCACGTTCCGCCCTCTGCCGCCTCTGATTGGCTAACACCGACCGCCTCCGGGCTTTCATTGGTTCGGGTTAGGGCGAGAGCGTCCGCGTCAGCCAATCAGAGGCCGAGGAGGGCGGGACATGACTTCACCATCCTGGGAAGTTTAGTGTTAGCTGTTAGCTGCTCTACAGGCTATAATGTCAAACCCTGAAGGCATCACGCCCACCTTCATCATCATCATCATCACCCCCCTCCCCCCCTACCTGAACTTGGTGAACCGCTCCCTGTCGGACTCGAACAGCTCCCTCATGTTGAGGCTGCCAGCGTTAGCTTTGTACCACTGCTCCAGCTTCCTGTAGTTGGGGTCGTTGGTGAGCGCCATGCTGCTGGTTCTGGTCCTGGTTCTGGTCCCGGTGCTGGTTCTGGTCCCGGTGTTACTCTCAGGTCCTGGTGACACTGGTGTGACTGGGCTCCGTGAGGCGTTCAGGGGATGAAGAGGGTTTCACAGCTGAGTGCAGAGAGGTTGGACCAGAACGGACCAATGGCTGCTGCCCACTGCGCAGACTCCGCCCACTGCGCAGACTCCGCCCACCACACTGACTGTATGGAGGCAGATTAATGCCAATAACACCGATCGGCAAAACACCAGGAAACCAGCTAACAGTTGATTTTATATTTAGCAGTTATTCCAATATTCATTATGAATCAGACAAAAGAACTTATTTTATTTAATTGTTCTTACATTGTGTAAGTGTGACTGTTAACTGGGACAGGAAGTGTTCAGTGTTTAACATTTCTTGTACCTCAGTGATATTTGTCCAACAGTAAACTATTAATAATTAATAAATAAATTATTAATAACTGAATAATGTGATTATATCTGACGACCCACTGCAGGTTGTTAATGAACAGATATCTACGGAGGCAGATTAGTGCCAATAATGCAGGTTGTTAATGAATAGATAAACTACGGAGGCAGATTAGTGCCAATAATGCAGGTTGTTAATGAACAGATATCTACGGAGGCAGATTAGTGCCAATAATGCAGGTTGTTAATGAACAGATATCTACGGAGGCAGATTAGTGCCAATAATGCAGGTTGTTAATGAACAGATAATCTACGGAGGCAGATTAGTGCCAATAATGCAGGTTGTTAATGAACAGATATCTACGGAGGCAGATTAGTGCCAATAATGCAGATTGTTAATGAACAGATAATCTACGGAGGCAGATTAGTGCCAATAATGCAGGTTGTTAATGAACAGATAATCTACGGAGGCAGATTAGTGCCAATAATGCAGGTTGTTAATGAACAGATAAACTACGGAGGCAGATTAGTGCCAATAATGCAGGTTGTTAATGAACAGATATCTACGGAGGCAGATTAGTGCCAATAATGCAGGTTGTTAATGAACAGATATCTACGGAGGCAGATTAGTGCCAATAATGCAGGTTGTTAATGAACAGATAATCTACGGAGGCAGATTAGTGCCAATAATGCAGGTTGTTAATGAACAGGATAATCTTACGGAGGCAGATTAGTGCCAATAATGCAGGTTGTTAATGAACAGATAATCTACGGAGGCAGATTAGTGCCAATAATGCAGATTGTTAATGAACAGATATCTACGGAGGCAGATTAGTGCCAATAATGCAGGTTGTTAATGAACAGATAATCTACGGAGGCAGATTAGTGCCAATAATGCAGGTTGTTAATGAACAGATAAACTACGGAGGCAGATTAGTGCCAATAATGCAGGTTGTTAATGAACAGATAAACTACGGAGGCAGATTAGTGCCAATAATGCAGGTTGTTAATGAACAGATAAACTACGGAGGCAGATTAGTTATTGCCAATAATGCAGGTTGTTAATGAACAGATAATCTACGGAGGCAGATTAGTGCCAATAATGCAGGTTGTTAATGAACAGATAAACTACAGAGGCAGATTAGTGCCAATAATGCAGGTTGTTAATGAACAGATAACTACGGAGGCAGATTAGTGCCAATAATGCAGGTTGTTAATGAACAGATAAACTACGGAGGCAGATTAGTGCCAATAATGCAGGTTGTTAATGAACAGATAAACTACGGAGGCAGATTAGTGCCAATAATGCAGGTTGTTAATGAACAGATAAAACGTGCAGACAGAGCGACTGTATCACGCCTATGGACCAGTACGGAGGCAGATTAGTGCCAGTAATATGCTGTTCAGCTGTTCAGGACTTCCTTCCTGTGCGGAGTTACAGAGGAGACGGAGGCGACACAAACTAATGAACAACAGTTTATTATTTGCTCTTAATAAAAACCCCAGTCCACTGAGGCCCACAGAGGAGGACGCCATGCTGGGTTCAAACACAGAACGAGTGGCTGTGACTCCAGAGTGTTAAAGGAAGCTGGAGGACGGCGAGCCAACGGGACTCCGCCCACTCTCCGCCTCCTGATGCATCATGTAGTGTTCTGTGTGTCGACAAACATCCAAACACCTCAGTGGTTCTCAACCTTCCTCACAGGAACCTCAAACGGGCCAAAACCAGTACGCAGAACCCACCTGTCCCACTTCTCCCAGTCTGTGGATCGGTTCTATACAAAGAACCCGATTCAGTAAAATGTACCATAAAGTCTTAAAGGAACAGTTCACTCAGTACGCTAACTATAAAGCTACAGCCAGCAGCTGGTAGCTTAGCATAGGGATATTAGCTTAGCATAAAAGACTGGACATGGGGAAACAGATGAGTTAGCTTAGCATAAAACCTGGACACAGGGGGAACAGCTACATTAGCTTAGCGTAAAGACTGGAACATGGGGAAACGGCTATGTTAGCTTAGCATAAAGACGACATGAAGATACAGCTTTGTTAGCATAGAGACTGGAAACAAGAGGAAACAGGCACATTAGCTTAGCATAAAGACTTGAAAGGGACAAATATGGGAGTTAGCTTAGCATAAGGACTGGAAACTTGGGGAACCAGCTAGCCTGGTTCTGTTCAAAGGGAATAAAATACAGTTCTTTGTACAGATTAACAGGCTAGTGCCCCCCCCCGGTTTCCAGTCTATATGCTAAGCTAAGCTAACCAACTGCAGCTTCACATTTAAGGTGGAATCAATCATTAGTTTCAGAGAGATGATTTCACCAACTATTCCTTTAAGGCTGTTGTGTTTTACTGGTGCAGCATTAACCCAGCGGGTCCTTCCAGCCCCTCTGAGGGTCCCGGTCCGGTCCCGGTCCCGGACTGGGTATCCGGCTCTGCCAGAAGCTTCTCTAATGTTTGATTAGTCTTGTTGATGAGCATGTTGAGAACCACTGCCGTCTGTAATCGAGATGATTCCTGCTGAAAAACCATCTGACACGTTTCTGTAAAAACAAACCGGTTTCTGTCCCGGACTCGACGGTACCGAGTCGTTTGGACACGTCAAGAAAAGATAAAAGCTTTCAGGCAGTTTGGACATCAGAGTGTCTGAACTTCGTCTGATTTTATGGAGATGGATGAAAACATACAGAGCTGAACTATAATCAATTAACTGATTTAAGAAAACTTGACCCTTCCTAAGCCCCGCCTCTTTTGCTCTGTGCTCCAATCAGAGTTGAGCAAGCCGTGATCAACTTCCTCCTTTCCTGTACTCAGATATGCTACGCTAGGCTAATCTATGTTGGAAAGATGACCTCATTATGAAAACGGTTCGAAGATAAAAGACGTAAATATATAATCACATCTTAAGTTAGCTAATGTTAGCGAAACTAAGCTAACTAATTTATTTAGATTAGCTTTCAGATATAGCTAGCTGGCTAACGTTAGCTAACGTAAGATGTGGCTATATTTACGTCTTTTATAGAATCGCATATGCTCAACTGTGATTGGAGCACAGAGCAAAAAGGGGCGGGGCTTAGTAAGAGTCAGTTAATTTATATTATTTACTTTGTTTCAGAAAGAATAATTAATAATTATATTTCCTTATTCAGTCTTTAATTATTAATTTATCAATTAATCGACTTCCTTCCATCGTTCAATACAACTAATGATTGAATATGGAAACTTGGTTTATTGATCCATCTGCCTGTGAACTGCAGGTTTTCTTGTTGTATCCAACTCAAAGCTCCCACAAACTGTTTGGTGCCTTAATGTTCAAATCTCCTCTCTCATCGTGGACCAGCGCTCATCCTGCAGCTTTAAGGCGACTCGAGTAAAAACTACATTTCCTGAGCACGATTAAGTACTTTAACAGGTAGCTCTGCAGGTCAATAGGAATTTATAACAATAGTTTTGGGGGGTTTTGTCGTCGTGGAGTCCGAAAACCGACCGGGGTCAATACAGATCCAATGCCAGAAAACACTTTAGAAAATTAGCTGGAAAGAACATTTTCATACTTTTCTCTGATGAAAACGAACCCAGAATATGTGAAAGACTGATGATTAACTAGTTTAACTAGTTTAACTAGTAACTAGTGTTACTGTGAGTCTTCAATGAACCTCAGGACAGAAAATCTTTTATCAGGTTTCCAAAAGTTCCAAAAACGTTTCCTGAAGTACTTAAATCATGTCAGATCCTCCATAACCTCAACCATAATCTGAATATTGCTAGAAAACTAAACGCAGACAGCCAGCTGGTTTTTCTAGTCTTATTGTGTATTTATAGTTGACATCACTTCCTGTGGCGTTAGCGGGCTGCCGACCACCGGGCAGTGCCGAGCGACAGATTCTCTGTAACAGCTGGATTAAATGTGTTTAAGGTCCAAAGATGCAGAGAAATATAAATTAGTGTGTCTCATGAAGCAGCCCGACAAAGAACATACGAGTGAGTAAAAACACTACGGAAGATTTATAATGCCTCAATTAAAACAAATCCTGCTCCGAAATAAAGTGAAAACAAGTTATTTTATGTTCTTAGTGTCATAATTCAATAATGTTAAAAGGATAATTATTAACTTTGTCTTTAACAACTGAAACTTGTTTTTCTTTGTGATGTTAATTTTCCAAATAAAAACATAAAATGAAGTGAAGATGGATTATTTCACTGTACAATCTCAGCTAATGTTAGCTAAATGCTAGCTAACTAGTTAGGTAATCTCCATTAATCGTTAGCCAGCTAATTAGCATCCATTTCGTATTTTAACATCATGGATCAGACGTAACCAGCTGGTTAACGATTCATGTAGATTAGCTAGCTAACTATAGCGTTCTGTTGAGGTGGTTATTTTATAATTGTTTTTCTACATTTCTACACTTTCTTTGTTCTCATTTGTTAAATATGTAAAAAGTTATTTTCCTTTATTGTGAAAACCACGAGTATATATTTCATTGTAATTATTATTGTCTATTTGTATGTGTGAAATATATACAACACAAATATTGTTTAAATATAATATATATATTAGGGCTATATGACACCTCTTTATTTAGGTTTCTGTGTTGTGATTTTATTTTAATGTGAAAAACTAATTTATTAAAGACACTACATAATTTAAACATACATTAAATTATGAGTCAATGCATACATAAAAAGGAAACATACAAAACTGTGTATTGCATTTCACTCAATTTGTTTTACTTTAGGAATTGTAAATCTTCCGTACCCATCAGCGAGGAAGCTTAAAGCGAGTTCAGATAGATTTTAAGCCTTTTTCTAACTAACTGCAGCACCTGTAAGTACCAGCGACTCATGAATGAAGTTAATCACAGGAAAAGAAGTACAAATATTTGACCTATGACCTCCGACGTTAGCTCGTGGACTGAGAGTAAAAACTACCACGAAAACCAGCCGAGTACACACGTCTACCACCAGCTCCCTACACTACAACACTGAGTGAAGAGTCTTTACACCGTTAACGAAACACTTAAAGGTGGACAGAAACAGAAAAGCGGTTTTAGGTGAATCTGTGAGGGACAGACGTGATAGTGAGCGGGCTGACTACATAACAGCAGGAAGTCTATGTAATAGTAGAAAAATACATGTTAGAAAGGTGTGACTGAGACTCTGTTTGGTGCTGAACTTACGTTACCCCCCCCCCCAGTAAAGCTACGTCAGTGAGGACCTTCGACAGCTAACAAAATATCAAAGACAGGTTTCAGGAAAGAAGCCGGGAAGATCATTCATCGTAAAACAAAAAACACCCCTCTGAAATATGACGACATTTATATATAATTAATTCAGCCACCTGGAAATTACTTTGAAGAGATTTGGACTTTTTAAAATGTTTTTTTTTTTTCTTTTTTCCCCCGATAAACTGCGTTGTTGTTGTTGTTGTTGTTGTTTCCATCGTTGTATTCAAGCAGTCTACCCCAGTGCTGGTGACAAATATACAACTAGTAGACAATCTTCATTATTTTAGTCAACAAAATAGCAACCCAAACTATGTTTTATCCATGGAAGCGTGAAGAAGTTCCACCTCCCACTGAGACTACGCAGCCACTTTGTTGTCCTTCTGGAAGAAAACGACAAACACAAACAACACAGAACAGAATAAATAAAACATTTTATACTCTTTATGAAACACGAAGAAAACAGAATACATATCTAAAGTCAGTGGTATCATCTTAAAGCTTCCATATCTCAGACTGTGAATCCTGTTGCAGTCTCATGATGCTAACTGATTATTATTACTAACAGCGTTGATGTTAGCAACAATAAATTATGTAGCGGTTCAAAGCTAACGATAGCTTTCTACTAGCCCAGAGTGATGCGAGGGAGGGGCATCCAGCTAGCTAACTGTAGCTAACTGTAGTCTGTGTCTTGGTGTTGGCTGATGGAGAGTTCGGTGTCGACCCGCTCTATTAGAAAAGTGTCCTGAGATAACTTCTGTTCTGAATTTTTGCTACCAAATAAAACTGAATTGAATTAAACAGCGAGCTAGTTATTAGCATGGAGCTAACGGTCCAAATACAATATATGAACATTGCAGATAGGAACGTTATTATAAATACGACCGTCAGTTATTTTACAGCGTTCAGTGTTTGTTGCTGTTAAAATAATAATGAATCTTTTACCCTGTATGCTGATAAGTCGGCGAACTCCCGACCAGCCTGGTTTCCTCTGTATCCGCCCCTGAAGCCGCCGGCTCCCTGTGGCGGCCCGAAGGACCCTCGGCTGGCCGAACGACCCCGACCTCCGCGGAAGCCCATACCGCCACGTCCGCGGTACCCTCCGCGTCCTCGACCCTGACGAAGAGGGATGCCGAACGTCTCGGCGTTCATCCTCCTCTCCTCCGCCCAGGTCTGCCTTCGCTCCCTGCAGGAGGACACACAGAGGAGGTGGAGGAGAGACATTACAGAGGAAAAGAACATGGTTTCATTTGACATATATTACATTGAAAGGTAGTCTGTTAGCTCGATGCTAACACATAATGGGAGTTACCAATAACGTGCTAATGGAAGTTAGCATTGCGGTAATTACTCAACTAATGTTGCATTTCATGTCACATGCTTTACATCAAACGTGTGCTCAAACTTACAGACATATTTCTATTCTCTGCTGCTGACTTGGGTTTAAAAATACAGCCTCCACTAGGTGGACAGCAGGAGTGGGCGCCGTGAGAGGGCAGAGAGAGGGCAGAGAGAGCGCCGTGAGAGGGCAGAGAGAGCGCAGAGAGAGCGCCGTGAGAGGGCCGTGAGAGGGCAGAGAGAGGGCAGAGAGAGCGCCGTGAGAGCGCCGTGAGAGCGCCGTGAGAGGGCAGAGAGAGCGCCGTGAGAGGGCAGAGAGAGCGCCGTGAGAGGGCAGAGAGAGCGCCGTGAGAGGGCAGAGAGAGCGCCGTGAGAGGGCAGAGAGAGCGCCGTGAGAGGGCAGAGAGAGCGCCGTGAGAGGGCAGAGAGAGCGCCGTGAGAGCAGCTCTATGGAGGAGTTTAAACCGGCTGTTAGTGGCACAGACAGATAAACAACGTACCTTGGGAAAACAGAGCCTCCAGACTTTTCATTTGCTTTCCTGGTGAAAAGGAAACAGACAACACGGTCAGAGAAACATCTCGCAGGAAGTCAGACACAGTCAGCAACAGTGGTGGGACTCAAACCTGGTGTCGTCACAGGAGATGTTGTCGAAGAAGGACTTGGACTTGTCGTAGTAGCAGTTGGGGCCGAGCGGGTCGCCCTCCTCGTCTGCGTTGCTCTCGCTGTTCTGGGTTTCCACACCAGAGTCGGCCTTTTCCTCTCCGTTCACCGCTTTCTCCGCTTTCTCCGTCTTCTCATCTGAGCGGCGAGAGAACCAACGGTCACATTTAATGTGAGTAATAATAAAGAACCACAGACGTTTGTGCAGGCAAAAAGGAGGAAAACTGCTGAAAATGTGGTTTGTCCTCATTAATATGAACTTTAACATACGGACATTACCTTTCAGCTTCAGCTTGCTCTGAAACTCTCTGTCGATCTCCTCCTTGTTGAACTGGGCGTTGGCGCTCTCAAAGTCAAAGTCTTTCTCAAACTTCATGGGTCCGTCTCGGCGAACATTGAAGCGTCCTCGGCCACGATGTCCGCCCCCTCGCCCACGCCGGTTAGCCTGAGCGCCTGCAGCCACTAAATAAACATATTTAAGGTCACATTAGCCGTCATCATTAAGAGGCAGAGCAGAAACACTAACACATTACATGGCAACACATGAGGTAGGAAACCAAAGCACACTATGGTTCAACAGTCTGTCAGAATGAGTTCAGACTTTAAAGTCCCCATGAAACAGAAACAGGAAGCAGAGTTTGTGTTTGCTGGGGGGGGAGACCCGGGACTGAACACAACCTCTGAGACCGACAGGGAAACCAGCACTGAGCTGGTTTTCTTGTCGGGAGCCGAGTCAATTAGTTCAGCGGTTGAACGAGCTAACAGCAGTTAGCTACTGATCAATCTGTCCATCAGAAACTCTGTAAATGACCTCGGTGCTGTAACGTTGTTCCTTGTTCGATCCTGGCTGCTGAGCCCGGTTCTGTCGCCCACTAACGACAGATAGCAGCGGCTAATTAGCGGTTAGCTCTGGTGGCGTCAGAAGAGAGAAAGCGTTTGATTGGACGCGGCATTAGTAAACGCCCCCGAGTGCAGGATGAGTCATCAAATACTTTTATTGATTATCAGGAAACTCTACAATACCTTTAAGAACACCTGAAAACACCTGAAACAGGACTTCCTGTGCCTGTTGGACAGACACTGGAGGACGTATAAAGACAGAGGAGATAAAAACACTAAATTCTGACTTCTTGGGGACTTTAAGTCGACTTTAGAACCAAAATTCATATCAAACATGGAGAAAATGCAGTAAGTCATTCAGGTAGCTTTGTTGAGTCTTGGAGTCTGGAGTCCATTGACATGAACAGCATGTCAATCTGCACACACGTTCACTAGCAAAGAAAAACACATCAAAGAGGGATGACGGGTGGAGCGGCTGTAGAGGATGAGTATGGGCTCCACTGTCCAAAAGGAAAAGGCATGCAGAGTCTGAATGGGCTGGGTGGTTGGAGAGCGGAGGAGGGATTAACCTGTGGAACGTTTACTGGTATCCCTGACTTCAGCTCGCGCCTGCTCAGACTCTGGTTTGGGGACTTTCGGGACGTCCGTGCCTGGAATAGCAGAGTCTTTTAGAGTCCAAAACAACGTCAACAGTCAGGAGAAAAACAGCCCTGCTGGTGCTACTGTCCTACCTTCAGAGGCTGTAAAATGTGGAACCTCTGGAACAAAACGTTAACAGATCACACAAAGTGGAAACGACTGTTCACAGTATGAATGTGGAGTTTTATTCAGGCCTCATTCCTGAGACACGTTCAGAGCGGTCTTATATTCAGGGAACAACTACAATCTATTCGGTCCTCAATAAACACGTTTACAGACAACAACTGTTGGCAGGATCATCACAGAACTCACAGGATATATTCAAACCGACCACTAGGGGGCGCTACCACAGAAAGAGGAGGTAGAATAACACGGGTCAGACTATAAATCACTAAACTCACAGAAACTGTTTTATAATAATGTCAAACATGTTAAGCAGTCGGCAGCCGCTTGCAGACTATTTAATTTTTATTTGTATTGGTCAACTGTCGACTTTAACTCAAACTGAAAACTTTCAGGCATGAAAACAGGTCAGAGGTGAAAAAGGTGAGAAGGATATAAGCCCTTTAGGGGGGGTCGGGGGGCATGGGCCCTGCATGTTTTGCCAACCTGGGGAGAGCTGGAGAAACGTAACTTCAGCCATGAGTCAAACATATTCTCCTTACTCAGTATTCTGCATGAAGCATTGATTCTTTAATTGTCAGCCAGCCTGTCTCTAACATTTACAGTACACGAGGCACAATGTGGCTTAATGGTGGACCTGCTGTAACTTAACTTGTCTACTCTTCCATCATGATTGACAGCCAGTACAATGTTATGTAATTCAGATTTTAATACATTTTATTATTTCTTTTTTGTGATTTACCGTTAGCTATACAAGCTAGCAGCTAACTTTAGTAACAATATCTAGCTAATGTTAGGCTAACGTTAACGGTAGCGTTAACTAATTATTGTCCAGCGGAGCTTTAGCGGGCTAACGTTGCGTTCCCTCTCCTGCTAATCAGGTAATGGTATCCCCCCCGACCTTCCCAGAGAAAGAAACTGGTGATGCGAGAACCTTCGCACTAATATTTCCATGCAGTCGCGCTCCCTTCTGGCACCTGTTCACTGTTCACTGAATCTCTGGTACCTTTATCTTGTGTCTCATTCATTGTTACTGGTCAGTTTCTGGTCTTTATCATTTTAACTCACATTATTATTATTATTATTATTATTATTATTATTATTATTATTATTATGTGTTATCCAGCTGCTGGATCACTAATAACCGACTCCTAAGACATTTGATATTAAGAGTGAGTAACAAGAGATCCTCTCTGCGGACACTAAATGCATTTATTGAGCACAGAATAGATTTGTTATCTCAGATTATTAGATGATTATATGTTAGTGTTGCTCAGGAATGAGGCTCTAATAGAAGTCCATATAGGACACTTGAGTGTGCTGGTCTCTGAGGTCTCACCTGCGTGGCTAAAGATAGAGTGGGTAAGCCCTGCAGTGGGAGCCCTATCTACAGCACTGAGGTGAGAGGCGGAGATGGTTCGGGGTGCAGACCAGCCCTGGCTGCTGCGGCCTCCCCTGACAGTCTCACCCCTCCTTGTGTCCGCGACATCCTGGTGCTGGATCTTCTGGCCACCCTGACCGGCGCCAGAGGGGGCTGTGCGACCCTGGGTGGGGCTCCTGCGTCCCAGGCCGGGGGCCGGAGTGGTGGTGGTGGCGGCGGTCGGCGCTGACGGGGCAGTTTGGATCACCTGCTCCAGGGTGGGGCTCTTCCTCAGAGGGTCCAGGCTGGGGCTGCTGCGGCCTGGAGGGGGGGGCAGAGATCAGAGTTAGTGGCTGAACCTGATCATTAGTCAGAGCTCAGTCCAGCTGTTGAACAGGAGCTGAACCTTCTTCACACAGGAGATACAGGTGGGGCTGGGTTGGGTCGGTGTCCGGCCTTAACACCATATATATTCAACAAAAAACGATAACTGACACTTCCTGTGACTAGCTTGCTTCAAAATAAAAGTCAACTTGTGTTTCTCCAGTTAAATGCTTTTAATTTGAAGCTGCACCAGGAATGAAGGTTGGGTGACGTCAGTCAGTCCAACAACCGCAGATATATTCGTCCAATCGCACAACCCTATAGGAAAGGTTCATAAACCTAAAGCATCCAGGCTGCAGCGGATCGTATTGATCGCATTGATCGTATTGACGCTCTGAAGGTCTTTGACTTCATATGAAACCAGTTCGAGTCGGTTTACACCAGCCCAAGCAGCTTTAAACTTACAGCCAGTGATTGAACAGGACATACAGTTGTTAGGAAATAATCCTTGTTGAGGTTTATTAAATTAATCTCAGAGTCACTTCACAGTTTCAACAAAGCAGAGAGAAAGTGAAGACATTTCACTGGAAACAGAAGCAGTATTTGAACACACACTTTCAGGCCTGAGTGAGCGTCGTCATCCCACCAGCTGTGGGATATAATGTACCCTCATATATCGGTATATCAATATCGGCCCTCCGATATTATCGGCCGATATTCACTAAAAAATTTAATATCGGGAATTATCGGTATCGGGTTTTTATAACCGATGTTTGTTCTGTTGGCTTCAGCATTTCCGAGCCTGCATGAACGCAGCATGGGACGTTTACCGGCGCGCGCTAGATGACGTATAACAACAACAACTACACGCTAGACTGGTTGGTTGCTAACCGTGGCTAACAAGCAAACAATTTAAAGCTGAATTATTTTAATATTAACACAAAATAAGTTCAATACACCTTAAATATTTCACTCTGCTCTGAGCTGTTCCTTAACCAAACTAACAATTGGCTTAGAATTTACATTAGCACTCCTTCAGGTGAATAATACAATTAAACACATTAAAGGGGAATTTCGGCAGATTATGGATCGCTAGATGTCACCGAGTACTGTCGATAGGAAAAACAACGACCAAAACCGGTGCTAGCAAACTGGAGTTCCTGCAGCTAATGGCCAGAGCTGTTTTTACATCGCTCGCTTCACCGAAAACCCAGAAGAGTCGATCACGAGACTCGCACTGAAGTCCTGTGGGAATTCAGTTGTTGCAGGAAGTTGTAGTGTGCAGATCGGAGCGTAGTGTGTGAAGACATTTTTGAGGGGGAAATAAACTTCAAGTTTTCGTCGCTAAGGCATGACCTCCGTGATCGACTCTTCTGGGCTTTCAGTGAAGCGAGCGATGGAAAAACAGGTAGGTGACAGTACTTGTAAACTTTGAATTTAAACGGTTTCTGCACAGTGTATGAGTTGAAAAGGCATGTTGTTGTCACGTAAGGGCCCTGATCATGTTGCACAGACATTTTAATGCATTGTGTGTCTGTTAAGAGGAGCTAAAGGCACTCTTTAGGAAATGCCCCCAAGAAGTGTATTATAACTAACTGGGAGCTCTGGCCATTAGCTGCAGGATCTCCAGTATCCTAGAACCGGTTTTGGTCGTTTTTCCTATCGACAGTACTCAGGGACATCTAGCGATCAAGACTCGGGTAAAAATCTGCCAAAGTTCCCCTTTAACCAAGGCTAGCGATTAGCGCGTAGCTAGTGATTAGCGTTAGCGCTCCTTTCAGTATTAATACAATGAAAGTTAAAGTTGTTTTCCACAGACAGTGTTTACATTTGGAAAGCCATGATGCATTTATGTATGCATCCAGTGGGGCATCACAATAAAATGAGGCATAATGTGTTAATTCCACTATAGGAGATATGTTGTTACAGTTTGGGTGTAAAAAGCCTGCAGATATCGGTATCGGACATTGAGAGTTGGACAATATCGGAATATCGGATTTCGGCAGAAAAGCCAATATCGAGCATCCCTAATATATAGTAAAAAAATGCTCTTCATTCTTTAAAACCCAAATATATTCAGTGTATGAACAGCAGCAACATATCTTAGGTGTTCAAATTATATGAAAAAATTATAATCACATTAAAGCATTTAATTATAAATGAATAAATGCACCTTGTGACAAAACCACAGATAAAGTTGTGTGTTTGTACAGTGTTAATAAAGTTGTGTGTTTGTACAGTGTTAATAAAGTTGTGTGTTTGTACAGTGATAATAAAGTTGTGTTTGTACAGTGTTAATAAAGTTGTGTGTTTGTACAGTGTTAATAAAGTTGTGTGTTTGTACAGTGATAATAAAGTTGTGTGTTTGTACAGTGTTAATAAAGTTGTGTTTGTACAGTGTTAATAAAGTTGTGTGTTTGTACAGTGTTAATAAAGTTGTGTGTTTGTACAGTGTTAATAAAGTTGTGTGTTTGTACAGTGATAATAAAGTTGTGTGTCTGTACAGTGTTAATAAAGTTGTGTGTTTGTACAGTGTTAATAAAGTTGTGTGTTTGTACAGTGTTAATAAAGTTGTGTGTTTGTACAGTGTTAATAAAGTTGTGTGTTTGTACAGTGTTAATAAAGTTGTGTGTTTGTACAGTGTTAATAAAGTTGTGTGTCTGTACAGTGTTAATAAAGTTGTGTGTCTGTACAGTGATAATAAAGTTGTGTCTGTACAGTGTTAATAAAGTTGTGTGTTTGTACAGTGATAATAAAGTTGTGTTTGTACAGTGATAATAAAGTTGTGTTTGTACAGTGTTAATAAAGTTGTGTGTCTGTACAGTGATAATAAAGTTGTGTGTCTGTACAGTGATAATAAAGTTGTGTTTGTACAGTGATAATAAAGTTGTGTTTGTACAGTGTTAATAAAGTTGTGTGTCTGTACAGTGATAATAAAGTTGTGTTTGTACAGTGTTAATAAAGTTGTGTGTTTGTACAGTGATAATAAAGTTGTGTGTTTGTACAGTGTTAATAAAGTTGTGTGTTTGTACAGTGTTAATAAAGTTGTGTTTGTACAGTGATAATAAAGTTGTGTGTCTGTACAGTGTTAATAAAGTTGTGTGTCTGTACAGTGATAATAAAGTTGTGTGTCTGTACAGTGATAATAAAGTTGTGTGTCTGTACAGTGATAATAAAGTTGTGTGTCTGTACAGTGATAATAAAGTTGTGTTTGTTCAGTGTTAATAAAGTTGTGTGTCTGTACAGTGATAATAAAGTTGTGTTTGTTCAGTGTTAATAAAGTTGTGTGTCTGTACAGTGTTAATAAAGTTGTGTCTGTACATTGATAATAAAGTTGTGTTTGTACAGTGATAATAAAGTTGTGTTATCAGACATGTGGAGGAGGAAAGTGGAGGATCAGCTGTGTAAAGTCACACTGACTCCATGAATCCGTCCCTCCTCACTTCCTTTGGCATGCTTTACGTGGTACAAGAGCCACTGAGAGACCCTGAACCCTTGGATATCATGCCCCCACTGTGTCCCAGTGCTCGCTGTGCTTACCAACACCAACTGGTCCAAACTGAGGGGAAACCAGGGGACTGGCGCTGAACTGGTTGTAGGCAGGAACTGGAGCCCGGTTGAAGAGGCCGTAGGAACCGGCGGACTGGAACGAGGTCGGGGCGGCGGCAGAAGACGAGGAGCTGGAGCTCATGGACGACTGAGGAGGAGACAGTTGACGTCACTCCGAGAACCACAAACACTTCACACAGCGATAAAGGCAGCGTGAGAGAGGTAGAGTGAGAGAGGCAGAGTGAGAGAGGTAGAGTGAGAGAGGCAGAGTGAGAGTGGGAGAGTGAGAGAGGCAGAGTGAGAGAGGCAGAGTGAGAGAGGCAGAGTGAGAGAGGCAGAGTGAGAGAGGCAGAGTGAGAGAGGCAGCGAGAGATTGAGAGAGGCAGAGTGAGAGAGGTAGAGTGAGAGAGGTAGAGTGAGAGAGGCAGAGTGAGAGAGGCAGAGTGAGAGAGGCAGAGTGAGAGAGGTAGAGTGAGAGAGGCAGCGTGAGAGTGAGAGAGGCAGAGTGGAGAGGTAGGAGTGGGAGGCAGAGTGAGAGAGGCAGAGTGAGAGAGGTAGAGTGAGAGAGGTAGAGTGAGAGAGGTGGAGTGGAGAGGCAGAGTGGAGAGGCAGAGTGGAGAGGCAGAGTGGAGAGGCAGAGTGGAGAGGTAGAGTGAGAGAGGTGGGTGGAGAGAGGCAGGTGAGGTGGAGAGGCAGAGTGAGAGGCAGAGTGAGAGAGGCAGCGAGAGAGTGAGAGAGTGAGAGAGGCAGCGAGAGAGTGAGAGAGTGAGAGAGGCAGAGTGAGAGAGGCAGAGTGAGAGTGAGAGAGGTAGAGTGAGAGAGGTAGAGTGAGAGAGGCAGAGTGAGAGTGAGAGAGGCAGAGTGAGAGAGGCAGAGTGGAGAGGCAGAGTGGGAGAGGTAGGAGTGGGGAGGCAGCGTGAGAGGCAGCGGAGAGGCAGCGTGAGGTGAGAGAGTGAGAGAGGCAGCGAGAGAGGCAGGTGGAGAGGCAGAGTGAGAGTGAGAGAGGCAGAGTGAGAGAGGCAGAGTGAGAGGCAGAGTGAGAGGCAGAGTGAGAGAGGCAGCGAGAGAGTGAGAGAGTGAGAGAGGCAGCAAGAGAGAGGCAGAGTGAGACTGAGAGAGGCAGCAAGAGAGAGGCAGAGTGAGACTGAGAGAGGCAGCCTGAGAGAGGCAGCGTGAGAGGCAGCGTGAGAGTGAGAGAGGCAGAGTGAGAAAGGCAGCGTGAGAGTGAGAGAGGCAGAGTGAGAGAGGCAGCGTGAGAGTGAGAAAGGCAGAGTGAGAAAGGCAGAGTGAGAAAGGCAGAATGAGAGAGGCAGCGTGAGAGTGAGAGGCAGCGTGAGAGTGAGAGGCAGAGTGAGAGGCAGAGTGAGTGAGAGAGAGAGAGGCAGAGTGAGAGAGAGAGGCAGAGTGACAGAGAGAGAGGCAGAGTGACAGAGAGAGGCAGAGAGAGAGAGGCAAGAGAGAGGCAGAGTGAGAGAGAGAGAGGCAGAGTGAGAGTGAGAGAGGCAGAGAGAGAGAGAGTGAGAGAGGCAGAGAGAGAGTGAGAGTGAGAGAGGCAGAGTGAGAGAGGCAGAGAGAGAGAGAGAGTGAGAGAGGCAGAGAGAGAGAGGCAGAGAGAGAGTGAGAGTGGCAGAGAGAGAGAGGCAGAGAGAGAGTGAGAGAGGCAGAGTGAGAGTGAGAGAGGCAGAGTGAGAGAGAGAGTGAGAGAGGCAGAGAGAGAGAGGCAGAGAGAGAGTGAGAGTGGCAGAGTGAGAGAGGCAGAGTGAGAGTGAGAGAGGCAGAGTGAGAGAGGCAGAGGGAGAGTGAGAGAGGCAGCGTGAGAGAGGCAGAGTGAGAAAGGCAGAGTGAGAGAGAGAGAGAGAGGCAGAGTGAGAGAGGCAGAGTGAGAGAGGCAGCGTTTTCGGGGGCGTACCTGGACGATAGCGGGGTCCTGAGGGAGGGAGCATGTTGGTTTGGGCGGCTCACACACAGTCAGGTCCTTGATGTCGCTGCCTCTGAAGATGATGTACTCGAAGGTGTCATCTCGAGGGGGGATGGGCCTGTCGGTGGGCCGGTCCTCTGTCCCAAAGGAGCGCACTGACAGAGAGGACACAGCTAACGGTTAGCACTGCTGGGTCGTGTTACACTGTACGGGACTTCCTTTAAAGTCTCTGAGATCTTGTATCTGTGCTGCTCATTCATTATAAAGTATATAAGCATTCAATTATCTTGCTCTTCAATTGGATCTATTTTCTCCATCTTTTATGCTAATAAATGTTGTAAGGTGTGTAAGGTGTGTGTGAGGTGTGTGTAAGGTGTACCAGGTGTGTGTAAGGTGTGTGTAAGGTGTGTGTAAGGTGTACCAGGTGTGTGTAAGGTGTGTGTAAGGTGTACCAGGTGTGTGTAAGGTGTACCAGGTGTGTGTGAGGTGTGTGTAAGGTGTACCAGGTGTGTGTAAGGTGTGTGTAAGGTGTACCAGGTGTGTGTAAGGTGTGTGTAAGGTGTGTGTAAGGTGTACCAGGTGTGTGTAAGGTGTACCAGGTGTTTATTAAGAGTTATCAGCTGATGCAGCGTCACAGTGTCTGTCTACCTGCTCATTACAGGATAACACGTCATTATAATCTGTTGGTGAACCAGGAGAGCGCGCACTCAGTGACGTCACACAGACACGTGAGCGGCTTCTTCAGCAAATGAACCGACTGAAAGCTGTCAGTGAACGTCACATCAACACTTTACTCCAGAGTGTGCCTGAACGCATCACCACTTGCTAACGTTAGCTGACTCATGTTGCTCTTATTGTTCTTTAATCATCCTAGCTAACGCTACTAGCAGTACAGCTAATGCTATGGCAGCTTAGCATAAGCCTGTTAGCTTTCAAAAGGCGATATTTTCTTTCCCAGGATGGCGAAGGAACAACCCGCCCTCCTCGCCCTGTGATTGGCTTAGCACTACCCAATCCCACCCGTCATGCTTCACTTTAACCAATCAAACCGAGGAGCGACGAGCAGCAGCCAATCAGAGCCCGAGGCGGGCGGGACATGACTTCCCCATCCTATGAAGGAAAAGTGCTGCGAGTGGCGAGCTAACGCTAGCCTCCTGGCTAACGCTGATATCACCTCCACAGACAGTTCACCTGCGTTTGCCGCCAAAATCACATTGAGCCTGGAGCCATAAACAGAGGCTAACAGCTAACAGCTAACAGCTACAGCTAGCGGCTACTGCTAGCGGCTGTTAGCATTAGCTGCAGCTAGCGTTAGCGGCTGCTAGCAGTAGCATTAGCTGCGGTACCTTTAGCCAGGGCGACGGTGGAGTTCTCGGTGTCGATGGTGTACAGGATGCCTTCGTAGCGGATCGCGGCCTTCGACACCAGGCTGATCTTGCTGCCCAGGTAGGGCGTCCCGCCGCTCATGGTGTCTTCTGGGGTCCGGACCGGGATCAGAACGGACGGGTCCTCCGGGCCGTGGGGCTAACAGTACCGAGTCTGCTCCTACTTTATCGGGCTTGTGCTCTTCTCACCGCTACAACATGGCTACCGCCTCCTCCATCGAACGGCTCTGAGCGCGGGGGCTAACGAGACTTCACACTCTCGCGAGTTTACGCTCCGCCGTGAGATCTAGATCTGTGCGGGATAGAAGAGCAACCACAGCCATCGCTTTATACAGTCTATAATAACTTATATATATATATATATATATATATATATATATATATTTCTTCAGAAGTATACTCATGCTGTACATGTTTTCCTCTGTTATAATATGTATTTACACTGCAACTAATACTGTAATAACAATAAAACAGAGCTTACAGTTAATAATAAATAAGGTTCATATTAAATTATTGTTATGCACCAATAAAGGTAAATTCCTTGTATGAGAAAACCTGATTCTGATTATTACTTTACTTATTGATT